AACATGTGAACAATAAAAATTTTAAAAATGTCACGCGACAAATTCATTATAGCGCGAACTTCGTTTGCTAACATAACAACCTAGTTTGTTATTGGTATTAGCGAATTAGGTGATTTGAACAAAAATAAGATACGTGTTAGCCTTTTCTAAATTTGTTGTACCTTCTAACGAATAATGAGATAGAATGACAAATGCATTTGGTATTTAATGTGAAATAAAAATAATAAAAAATATGAAAATACCAAAAGCATTTGCCATAAAGTAATTGAAGATGATATTGAATAGCAAAAACACGTGCACTGTGTCTATCATTCTCTCTTATAGTTAGTTAGAAGGTACAATAAATTTGAGAGAGATTGACACGTGTTCTATTTTTGTTCATAGGAGATTTGCATTTTTTATTACAAGTTCACTAGTACCAGTAGCGAATTAGGTGGCCACAAAAAATATGACACGTTAGCAAATGAAGTTCACTATCTGATGTAGCTAACTTGTACGCGTGACATTTTAGAAAATTTTACTATTCACGTGATAGTTGAGTAATTTTTTTTTAAAAAGTGACAAATGGATCACTGTTACAATATACAATGCCAGAGCAACATACTTATAGGCATATGTATATTAGTATATATGAAAAGGTTACACTTATCATTCACATGCTTAGTTTTCCAGCAAACCGACACTACTTAAGGAGTGTTTGGTAGGAGGTGGAAAAAAAAATATTTTTAAAAAAATGGGGTGAAAAAATTATTTGTCTGTGTTTGATAGGAGGTGAAGTAAAAGTATAGTTGAGAAAAAAAAAATTCCATCATTTGTTTTTCCATATAAAATTGTTATAGAAGATTACTATTAATAGGGTGAAATTATTAATTTTTTCCATGTGGTGGAAAAATTAACACACAACATAAGTAAAATTAACTCAACATTCTCGAAAAAATCTTGGTCTATCAAACATCTAACTTACTCGGAATTTTTTTTTATCATATTCTCAGAAATTATTTTTTTCCGATAATTTTTTTTTCCTCAACTAAACATGAAAAACAGCTTTGCAAAAACTTGAAAGTTGAAACACATTAACACAATACTTGCTTCTCAAATCTCAACTAATCAACTGTCACTCACACAACATATCATGCAAAATATTTAAAGTTATGAAAGACAATTAGTCATCAATATTATAAGAACATGAATATCACAGACGAACAAAAACCAGCTCATAGTCACACCTACAAGCTTAAGTTAACATATGCCATAAGCAGCCACAGTTGATCATCCAAACAAGCAATTAGTAATTTATCATTAGTAGTTGAAAAAGAGTTTATAAATTTTTCGGGACATAATATTTTATTTGATACTTCTATTGACTCACACGTTTCATGATTACCTAATGGAATTAAGAAAATAACATCTTGGTTTTCCAAATTTTTTAATCAATCTATCATATAATTTGATTTGGATCAGACTATACTTGATTAAATTAGCTTAATTGGCGATGTGCACTTTCCAATAACCTTATCACTTTAATAAATTAAACTGAAAGAATGGTTGAATGGGCTACAATTAGCCGAGCCTGGCTCAACGCTCGAGACCGAGCAGAGGTTGGAACTTAGACTTTGGCTATTTTGATTTTCAATATTTTTTGCCCTGCAAACCATAGAATTATGACTTTGACACTAATATTGATTCTTCTTTAAGCGGTCTAAGGCACGCGCATGCCATTTTTTTAAGTGTTGTAATTAGCAATTAGCGGTGGTAAATGGTGTTTGGTGATTGGGCTCGACTTGTGAAGGTCTGAGTTTATATGTGTAAAATTATTTATTGAAATTAGAGTTGGATCTGTATAAAAGTTCGTTTAATAAAAAGGCTTCAGGCTCCAATTTAAGAGTTCGGCCTTAGAGCCTCCCACACTGACCCATACGGAAAGGAAAATGATGATCCAAATTTTTTTTATATTTAATAGGAATTATTTTTTATTATATTATTTGTTGTGTTATTAAACACACTGTTCCAAGGCATAGAAATAGAAAAAAATTGTTTCTTTTCAAAAAGAGTGTTATGGAATAGAATGATTATCATGCAAACCCATAATATAAACATAAGCTTAACAATTCATCTTCTTAATTCTGTGGGCATGGGGTTTTGAATTTCAACCCAATCTAAAACGAGAAATGTTAATAACATATTCTTTTCAATATACATTTTTATTATTGCATGATTTTCATGTATCATTTACTAGCCCACTCCTTATAAAATAAGACTCATATAAAATTCACAAAATAACATATAGTATATTGAAAAGAATGTGTTGCTAACATTTTCATCATAAATATACATCCTAAGCTTTAGCTTGATATAAAACTTAGTTTTGGATTTAAGTCAAATTTGATTTAAGTGTTTGAAGACAAGATGGGCTTGTTGATCCACAATTTGGTCTAGGCATAGTAATTTCTTCGAGGCTATAAAGCGATGGGGATATTTATCGTGAAATCAATTTCAGTTTCACTCAACGTAAATAAGAAATGAGAGATTTATGTGGACTTTGAAACTTTAGTGCGGCTGTCTTGGCCTGTTGGGCCTTTGAGAAACAACCAATCTATCTATTTATTTCTGAACAGAAAATGGAACAATCTTAATGCTACAAGAAATTTTTCTATACGCGGGAAATATTAATTAATTAATTTTATATTTTTAAATTAATCAAGTTAATAGATATTTCAATTTAACTAATATGATAAGTTGCACTTCAAACATCTATTGGTAGTATTTGACTGGACTCTATGATAAATGAATCTATTAGACACACTATTAGGTTCCTCTCTAGTCTTTACATACCACTGATACGAGGGTTAAGTTCTATGAGTCGACAAAGGCTGTTCTATTGGATGTAGGTTATTGAGAGAAAGATTCTAGCATGCACATATCAAGGTTCACTTCATCCAGGTATTCTATTTTTCCAAATATTAGTATATTATGATATTTTATTTATTATGCATACTTCCACCTTTGTGTTCATTTTGTTTTGAGAAAATGCTTACATATGCATAGCTGCAAAAATGATAGTGTTGTAAAACCAAATGTTGTAAAATCAAAGGTGCACACATAAAGGAAGGATTTAAGGGAAGTTTGTTTAGTTTGGCTGAGGTATTACATCAGCACATAAAAAAAGGGAGAAAAAAAAAAAAAGCGGAAACGGAAGAGGGGGAGAGGAGGGGGATGAAACATGAACTGAGAATCAATTGCTCATGAAAGTAATGGAAATTTGTAACTATTATTGATTGGATAAAAAGAGAACAAACGCTCAAAAGTATATTCTGCAAGTGTCCCGACACAGTAACTGTTGCTCCCTCAAGTTTCTGAAAGGTTATAGGTAAGCAAATCATTGAATCATTCAAGAAAAATTGATGCTATTAAATGGTTAGCTTTCTTAGTAAGATGAAATTCATCCCAAAATAGGTGCAGATCCCTCCTTTTGCATGCCTTCTTCCCAGGAACACATAAAATTCCTCCATTTTCATCTACTATACAATAGGGATATTTTGTATCAGCAAGATCTCTAAAAAGAAAACACTGAAAAAAGATAAATGTTAAAAAAATTTAAGTTTTCCAATTAATATATACTATAATTGAAGATAATCAACCCAGCTAGAGTATTTCTGTTGCTTTGATTTCATAAGGTAGTCTTTCAATGCATTCGAAGCCTTACGGTATTTATAAGGGTATTCCACCATATCGTAGATAAGCCTGAAAGTTTTGGGAAGAAAGAAGTTTCTCCCCTCAAATGTGGACGACAATTCTATGAGCTTGTAATAGAGTTTGCCATTGAATAGGGAAATCAAGTCCTTTTTAGTTCATTTAAACTCCCCCTTTTCCGTTTATCTCGACCAACCATCACTATTCACTATGTGACATCCTATAGGACCAAAATTTCAAACCCAATAATCATCCTTGTACCCAAATTGTATAATTCCTAGATTAAAAGGTCACACCACCAAACACCAATGCAAGGTTAACAAATCAAGTCATAAATAGAATGTGACTTTAGTGCAATAGAAGCTTTAGAAATTAATAGTACATTTTTGAAGTTCTGATATGAGGAGATTGCTGATATAGACTTTGGCAAATACAGACTTTGACAAGTATTTAGAGTTTTCCTCAGCAGATCAGAAATGGTGTGGCATGTAATCATTTATTGTCTGATTAAGCAGTTCAATCTGTCCTTCCATGTTGGTAGTCCCCTTCTGGACAACACAATTATTGCACTAGTCATTGTGTACCTGAATTAACTATAAATTCAGTTCAGCATGAAAACTACTTATGGTAATCATGTGTGTCAGATCTATATAAGACGTTTACCCATCTAGTTTGCAATCCTTTGTTATAACTTAATCTTCATATTAGCTGTTCATTTAGCTCCATCACTCCTAATTGGAATATCCCCATCTTTTTTTTCTCTCAAGATTTAATAATGTCCTATCTTATCTAGCATGAATCTATGACTAGAATGATACAGAACAAGTACCGCAGGTTTTCTCACTCCCTCTTTTTTTTTTTTTATCTCTTTTTGATTTGTGAATTGATAACTGTCTTCGAAGCGTATTTTATTTTGTCCTAACAGAAATTCAAGTATTTTCTTTTTTATTGTTTGGGCTAAAACATGCAATTAAATGAGAAAAGTAAAGCATTGTTGTAAAGCAGATACGAGTAATCCCCACTTTTGTAGATCCAGTTATAGGAAGAATGCCACCAGATGCAGAGTTAACACCACTACAGGGAGCCACAATCAACCAGCTTGGAGTCTCCAAATACATAAACAAACTTAAAATCTATATATAACATGCATAAATTAGAATTAACCAATTAAGAAACCAATGGCACGTTTTTCTCTTGGAAGTTTTCAAGAAACCGAATAACAGTAAAAGAACCGCCAAAAAAACAAGTCATTCAAACACGAGCAAAGAAAGGGAAAAAGGAACCATGAAATAGCCAAAGAAAGCAGAAGGAGACCATTATTACTATTACTACCAATTGGTACAAAAAATTACAAGGGCCACTAAAACATAGTTACAGACCCATGTGGTGTATAGATGAATGAGAAAAAAGAAAAAAGAAAACACACACAAGAGCATTGATCAATTGGACAAAAGCCAATCCCCATTAACCCAATCATGATGAACCCTGATCTGAGAATAGGGATACGCTATCTCTTCATTGGTGGTAGTAAAATACACATAGTAGTGAGAATCACTTATCCTTCTCCCAGTGATCTCACCAACCCACCAACCATCGTTGTCGAAAACATCGACTTTCTGGTACAGGGAAAACGCAGAACCCTGGACCCTGGGCGGCAACGGGCGAAGCTCCTTCTGATAAAGGGTCTCAGTGAGAGGCTGAGATTCGTCGTCTTCGAGAAGGTTCGTGTAGCGCACGACGCAGAGGCCATTGGGAAGGTGGGACACAAGGGTTGCCTCGTAATACGAACCAACAAACCCATCTTCTTTGCTGCAAACCTCCACCTTCTTCCCTCTGCAGAAATCCACCCTCTTCATTGGTCGACGCATCCCTCTCCAACTGTGGTTGTCGTAACGCCGGTGTCCGGTGGGTGATGATGGGTTTGAACGTATAGCGAGAGTGGTTCTTTGAAAAAGAAGGATACCTAGGGTATTTATTTACTTGTTTAACGAAAAGGGTATATATGTAATATTAAATTAGTTTTTTATTTATAAATCGATTTGATGTTTGACATTTTAGAAGAGAGATAGACACAAGAAATGGAAATCATTAAAGAGAGAATATGTGTTTTATTTTATTTTAAATTTTAGGGTTCGCTTTTCCTACCGTCAATGTAGATAACTTATCTACAGTGAGCCCAAAACGACGACGTTTTGAGGCGAAAATCAAGATATTTTTATAATTATAATTTATTTCAGAGTTGTAATAGTCTTTTTCATTATAATTTTTTAATTTTTCAACCCAAAACGACGTCGTTTTGGGTGCGAATGTAGATAACTTATCTACATTCACTCTAGAAACATTAAAGCCTAAATTTTAAATAAAAAATAATTTTTTGTGTCTATCTCTCTCCTAAAATGACATAACTTTATGTCATTTAAAATGACGAACACTTTTATGGGAGAGAAAATGGGTGATTTTTTTTAATTTAAATTTTAAATAAAAAATAATTCATTGTGTATATGTCTCTCTTAAAATGACATAACTTTATATTATTTAAAATGACAAAAACAATATGTATAGGGAGATGTTATACTTACAACTTTTTTTTACAACCTCTTACAACCATATATCATAACCGTTGATTTCCGCCAATCAACAGTTATGATATATGGTTGTAAGAGGTTGTGAAAAAAAAAAAAGGTTGTAAATATATCCTTCCTCGTATGTATAAAGATTTGATATTTGTTAATTTAAATGACATAAATTATCATTTCATTAGACAGGTAGAAATGAACACTTTTCGCTGTGTATAAATATGGATGTGAACCCTAATCTTAAAAAACCCTCGACTCCTCAAAAACCCTAATCGTCATCTGACAGACAATGGCAAGAGCTTTTTCTTCTTGCTTTGCTCGATTCTCTGCGTTCCTTACGATGCGGAGTGTCTCCACTTTAGCGAAGCCTCCTTCATCACTTTCGTCTCTCATCGTTCCCCGTCGATTACTCTTCCCTCTCTCCCATGCGCTCCTCCTACCTCCCCCCGCTCGGTTCGGCGGGATCCGGTGCCGAGTTAACCGGGCCGGTGATTCGACGTACTCGCCGCTGAACTCGGGTTCCTCGTTCAGCGACAGGCCACCCACCGAAATGGCTCCGCTCTTCCCCGGCTGCGACTATGAGCACTGGCTCATCGTCATGGACAAGCCCGGCGGCGAGGGTGCCACCAAGCAGCAGATGATCGATTGTTATGTGCAAACCCTTGCCAAAGTTCTTGGAAGGTTAAACATCTTCAATGTCGGACACTTTTCAGAACACTTTGTGGTTTTCGCTTGTGAGTGACTGATTTTGGCTTTTGCCTTTTTTTTATTTGGTTGTTATTCAGTGAAGAGGAAGCTAAGAAGAAGATTTACAATATTTCTTGTGAGAGGTACTTTGGATTTGGGTGTGAGATTGATGAGGAGACATCTAATAAGCTGGAAGGTATCTGTTATTTAATGGAGGCGTTTTAATGGATGATTTATTGCTTTTCTTTTCTTACGTTTTGTGTTCTCTCTTTTCATTTCTCTTTGAGTAGGGTTGCCTGGAGTTCTATTTGTCCTCCCGGATTCATATGTTGATCCTGAACACAAGGACTATGGGGGTGAGGATTTAACGCTTTGCTAGCTTTATTATCTTTTTTTTTTTTTTTGTCTTTTTAACTATAATGGAGATTGATTTCTGCAACTAACTTGGGTTTTTCTGGCGTTGATGCCACCATTTGTGTTTTTGTTGCAATGATTGGTGATGTTTACATCTCTATGTTACCAAACTGTGATTCTCCTTAAGAAATGGAATCATAAACATCATCTAATTATTTTGGTGGGCTTCTAATCCATAATATTTTAATCACTATAATATTATGCAGTAAATACATATTATATGTTGTCTGTTTGACAAACCCGTATCCTTTGGGAAATGTGGCATGAACCTTGATATTTCCATTTTTATTTGTTTTGTTTATTTTCTCAACAATGTCAGACTGTTAGTCCATCTTGAAAAAGCTGGATTATCTGTCATACAAGATGTGTAGCTTATAATGCTTAGCTGTTCTTTATGGAAATGTATTGCCACTGGTATGAATTAATAATTGTAATTTGCATCTGCCACATTCTTTTTAGCTTGTCCTCATCAATGTGTGTATATTCTGGAAACTTGTTCTATTCCCCATGACAGGATTGCATCCCGTTTGAAACTTTATGGAAATTATCTATAAAGCATTCTGAGTTGCAGACCTGGGGGGGGGGGGGGTTGAATTAGCTGCCATTTACTATGTTTTATATAGGTTGTGAGGTTTCCCTTATTTTCTTTTTTTTCCCCTTTATCAGCGGTCCATCTTGGCAAAGTTAATAACTCTCAATGGGTAATGGCTAGCTTTGAATGCTAATGGACTCGCATAAAAATTCCCTCTTATCCTGGTCTGTTGCTTCACAAATTCGTGAGGTTTAGAATAATTGGAGTTTGATACATAGAATTATATCACCCCTTTTTTGAGCCGATTGTGTGAGTTTTCTTTGTTTTTGATAATTTACGTTTTATTTTAGCTTTGGATTTTTTATAATTTATTGCCTATGCTATTTAGCAATAGTTTGTGGTGATTGTTTTGTCTTGATCCTAAGATCGAGCATTTTACTTATCATTATATTACATTTTCATTTGATAGTTACTGATGCTGCAAACTTGCATTGATGTGCACACTTAGAAGACTCCTGTGTTTTATCATGTATATTTGGAATGTCATTGTCTTGTGTAAAGAAAATGATTGTCATATTATGGTCCGTTTGGATGAGCTTCTGGAAAAAGGACTTTTTATGCCTTGCTTATTTTAGAAGTACTTTTTACAAAAGCTTAAGTTATTTAGATTTTGAAAAAAATATTTGGCTTTTGACTTCTACTTTTTTTAGAAGCAAAAATTTTTAGCTTCCAAAAAAAGCAGGTTTTTGGCTTTTGTGACTTTTTTTATTTTTAAGCAAACATCCAAATACTAATTTGTAGTGAGAAACACTTCTTTTTTTCCTTGAAAAAAAGCCCATCCAAACGGGCTCTTATTCTTGTTCTAGTCACAAGCTCGTGAGAGAATACGCCAGTGATAAAGAATGTGATTAATAGCAGGTCCATCTTGGCAAAGCTAATAACTCTATCCGAGTAATGCTTAGCTTTGAATGCTAATGGACTGAGATAGAATTTCTCTCCTCCTGTTCTGTTGTTCCATTAATAATGGAGTTGCAGAATCATTGGAGTTGATACATAAATTCCATGACATTGCCTCTTCTCCAGGCCAATAGTGTCTCTCTTTTTAAGCAAACATCCAAATACTAATTTGTAGTGAGAAACACTTCCTTCTTTTTTTTGAAAAAAAGCCCATCCAAACGGGCTCTTATTCTTGTTCTAGTCACAAGCTCGTGAGAGAACACGCCAGTGATAAAGAATGTGCTTAATAGCAGGTCCATCTTGGCAAAGCTAATAACTCTATCTGAGTAATGCTTAGCTTTGAATGCTAATGGACCGAGATAGAATTTCTCTCCTCCTGTTCTGTTGTTCCACTAATAATGGAGTTGCAGAATCATTGGAGTTGATACATAAATTCCATGACATTGCCTCTTCTCCAGGCCAATAGTGTCCCTCTTTTTTCTTGATAAATTAGGGTTTCAGTTATTCTAGTCCAATTTGACAGTTCAGTTATAACATTTTTATTGCCGATGCTATTTAGCCACAATTGTTAGTCCTTGTTTGTGTTTTCTCTTTATGCAGCTATTGAATATTTTTCAGTTTTCTGATCTTTGTTACATTTTCATATGTTTGTTAATGATGGTACCTACTTGCTATCATCTGTAGATAGAGAAGGCTCTTGTATCTTTTGTACTAAGAATGTCTTGTGAAAAAGAAATCAATTATCATATTGTTCTTGTTCTAGTCCACACTCATTTGAGCGTATGCCAATTGCATAGAAAATGTTTTTATCAGTAGCAGTCCATCTTGGCAAGTCTAAGAACTCTCTCTGGGTAATGTCTAGCTGTGAATGCTAATGGACTGACATAGAATTTCCCTCCTGCTGTTCTGTTGTTTCCCTAACTTATGGAGTTACAAATCAAATTGAGTTCATACATGGAATTATCTGACACTCTTCATGCCAGTAGTGTTCAAGTTTTTTTAATTGTAATTCACAATTAATATAAATTGTTGCTCCCAATGCAATTTAGCAATAATTCTTGGTCCTTGTTTTTTCTTGATGCTGTGATTGAGCATTTTATAGTTTCTTTATTATCTTTCATTTCCGTTTGTTGGCTATGGCTCCCGACTGTACTATATTCTAGAATAAAAGGTATAGAGGGGCAAGCAACTCAATTTGTCAGGCTCCGGGTGGGGGTAAGTCAGCAGCTAACAGTTTTGGTGAGGTGAATATATAAGAGAGAGAATCTGACAGTTGCTGATAACAGAATCAGTAGGGTCATTGGGCAAAGGCTAGGGCTTAGGCTGCTTATACAGTACATGGGTCTCCAAACTTTTGCAATTGTGAAATTTTCTTTTTAAACCTTTGTTCCTATTGTTCTTGGTTATCAGTAGCCCCTGTTTTCGTATAATACGTTGACTCAGGTTTATAATTATTTCAAATGTACATTGGTGCAGCTGAATTATTTGTGAATGGAGAGATCGTCCAGAGACCACCTGAAAGACAGAGACGGGTGGAGCCACAGCCTCAAAGGCATCAAGACAGGCCAAGATACAATGATAGAACAAGGTATGTCCGGCGCAGAGAAAACATGCGGTGAAGGACCAAAGGGCCAGTTTATTTAAGTAGAGGGATCTGATGTACATACTATGGGATTAGTGCATTATATGCACTATTTTAGTCTTGCCTTTGGAGACGTTCGCTCAAGTTCGGGTGGGGTGGTGACTGAAATGTTTGTAGTTGTAACCTGTATCAGTTGGATTCGTCTTCGTTATCATTTTTCTTTTGAACAGAATCTTGAACATGAATCTTCATGGTTCTTGTACTGCTTTCTACGTTTTATCGGCACATGAAAAAAAGGTGATTGGTTCAGATGCTTCTATTTCATATCTGATTTCTCAACGAGACAGACAAAAAATATATAAATGGATTCAATGTGTAGGTTCTACTTTATCTTATAGTTTCCAATACAACACGAATATTACACCAAGGAATGATGTCAGACATTTCGTTCAATGTATGTTATACTAAGCCGAGACATGCATGAATATACGCCAAGTATCATGTGAGACATTGAAAATAGGTTGCTGATAGTGATGGCATTGGCCTGGATACAAACAAGATTTTGGATGGTAACACGGTCTAATGTTTGCCGAAGGCGTTTCTGAGCTTAATGCCAGTATAGGGACGGAATTAGCTGGTCTAAATAAGGGCGTCGATGAGGAAGGTAATAATTGTGATGATGTATTTGAACTTGATGATTGTGATCATGTATTTGAACCAGGTTCTGTTCTAGTAGAGTATGAAAGAACCAAAGCATGTCACACGGCAGCGCATTGTCTCTGCTTGGACATGGTGACAGTGGAGTGGAGTAGAGCATACTGCTCCCCCTCTATCTAGGGCCAGGTTTACAAAAGCAATTCCAAATTGAGCGCTAACTTAGTATTGCATAATGGTGAATGAATGGGTTAATTTAATGATTGGTTGTGTTAACATGCTTCGGTGAACAATATTTAAGATTCTGAAAATTTGGTGTGAATAAAGCTTAATTGATTCGTGTCAACTTGGGAAAAAAAACAAAACAAAATAGTAGTATACTTGGAGTTGCCTATGATCTGATGATGGATTTTTTTCTTGGTTACAAGATGAAGGATGTATTTGATTTTAGACATAAATCAGAAGATTTTTCTTCACTTTTATTATTCGTGGTTAGATTTTGAGCTGGTGACCAAAAGAAATTTGGAGGTCATCATCTCTGTTCGAGGTTATTAGATTACATAGTTTGTCGTTTAGTTAGTTATCATATGCAATGATTCCAGACGACCTCAATTTATTATATAATTTTATATCTATTGTTTTTCTTGGTTCCATAATTGTATATATAGATTGAACGTTATCAATTTATCATCTCTTAAGTAGGTAGGATTAAGAAGAAGTCTACTTCATTGGTGAACTTAACATCAAATCTTAATTCCTAACCACACGCAAGATCTGCAACCATTGTTGACACTTGCATGGTTTGAGCGCGACGACTTGGATGTTCTCTAAAGGGTTCAATGGGAGAAGATTCTTCAAGAAAAACCGCTGCCTCAAAGCATTCAACTGCTTCCAGTGTTGATGTCCCTAAATCAGCTTTCAAGAGCAGTCCAAGATTGTACCATGCAGATGCATTTGTTCTGTCAAGCCGTATTGCATCAGTGAGAAGGCTTCTAACAATTGAAGATGATTGACCACCAAGCTGTCTGAGGACACATGCTGTGGATATCAAACTTGGCACATGGTTTGGCTCCATATCTAATGCTTCTCTAAATGATTTCAAAGCTTCTTGATGAAGACCTCTGGCTTCAAAAAGTAAACCTGCCAAAACCTGTCTTATGAGTTTCGCTACATGAAGAGTGTAAGTAACTACCTTAACAGAATGTTACTCAAGGATTCAAACGAAGTTTGAAATGTAGAAAATGTTAAGCTTCAATGAAGTTCAGATTCCATTTCTGCTGTGGCCTGTTATATTATTTCTAACAAAATAATGTAGATTCTGTTAAGATACCATCAGATTTATAGCCACTTCTTAAGAACTTAGAATCTATATCTTCGAAGATAAAAGAGAAGATGGAAACTGAACAAATATATAGAACCTATAAAGGTTGATGTTGAATGAGAATTAAGAAGCAAAAAAAGATGAGCAATATACCTGTGGAGTGCCATCTAGAAGCAGAATAGGGATTAATAGCCTGAGATTTTGCAAGACAAACTTCAGCATCATGCCACTGTGATAAGGCTGTGTAGACGTTGGCCAAATCAAGCCATATTTCCATTTCCAATCTTCTGTCACGGTTTCCCTTCCTCTGTACAAAAGAGAAGGCAGAAAATTAATATATTAAAAGGTAGAGTTAAAAGTGAAGCTTCTAAGCTTCCTTTCCAATTAATAGTTTGAGTTCTAAAGAATCAAAGTAATATATTCTACATATATCAGTGATGCATACTTTTACAACCTTATTTGCAATGCCTAAACTTTTATTTTGGACTTGAAGAACAGCAAGAAGAAAAGTATATGTCTCCACTGCATTCTTTAATTTTCCCTGCGCAATCCGCAGTTTAGCTTTAGTTCTCAACAATTCTCCTTGATCCCATTTTCCACTTTGATCTAGAGCAGTATCAACAACAATCTCTGCCTCTACAAACTTTTTTTGAGCTGATAAAATCCGTGCTAGTAGTATATATCCACTAATACTAGATCCACCTTCAAGCTTAATCAGTTCCTTTGCATGATAAAAAGCAATGCTCAACTTCCTCTGCTCAGCATATTCTAGACAAAGATGAAGGACAATGTATGGATCACTTTCCCTCATCATTCTCTCAGCAGCTTTTAGAGCACTCAGTGCTTCAGATTGCAACAAAACCTTCTCTGATTCAGAAGCAACTGACCTTGATTTTGATGACAGTAGAACACCTAGTAAGCAATTTGCAATAGCTTCCATTTGCATGCATTTTCCATACAACTGAGAAATGGCTTTACAAGAATATTTGATTCCATCTTCAACACAAACCATGTTTTCTGCACAAATTTTTGAAGCTAGAAGTAATTCCGGTATGCAGTTTGAGTTCTTTCTATTATTCAAAAAGTTCCTCAAAAGATCCAAAGCAATCATATGCTGACCTTCCCCACAGTAACAAAGAGCTAGAGTGTAATATCTTTCTTTTCTCTCCATGATTTCTGGAAGCAATTCCTCAACCTGTTGAGCCAGAGTCATGAACTCCCCAGAAACACTTAGAGCAAAAGAAAGGTGATCAATAATAGAAGGGTCCCATGCAATGCTTCCAAGAACAGATTTTCTTATCAGAATAATAAGCATAAGAACAGCCTCTTCTATGTTGTTTCTTGGCACAAAGGAACCATCCAACTGAGAGCGGAGAGCAGGAGGGCTTGCTTCACAACCACTGTACAAAAGAAACATAGCAAATTCCTTTTGCATCCTTGCTTTGGCTTCAATGTCAAGATTCCAATTATAAAGCAAAGCTCGCCTAAATGATGAGATAACATCTTGAGGAGAGCCAGCAAGTTTCCACAACTCTGGGAGCAGTTCTACAGCATTTGTTAGGGTCTCTTGCAATTTACAGTTTGAAACAAAGTTCTCAGGCCAGCCTTCTGGTAATGCAGATTCAACAGTGTCTAAAATAATCTTGCATGATCTAGCAGCATCTGCAAATGAATAAATTACATTCACAAACAAAATCATAGACTGCAAACTAATTGAGTGAACTTGGAATCCTTCAAAAGATTTAAGAAACTCTACAGAAACCTCTGGCTTTGAAGATATAGTTCAAGATAACTAAGATGATATGCATGGACATAGTTAAAAAAGAATTAAGAATAATATTAAATAAGCACCTTGAAACCTTCCAAGAGTGTGCAATGATTTAGCCTTGAGAAAAACAGCTTCAAGAAGTAAACTAACAGCAGGCATCGACATAGGAGGCACTGCATCACTTTGTGAACGGAGTCTATTGAGATCACATCTTCTAGATATAGAAATTTTCATCTTGGGAATGATAGCAGCAATATCTATTCCATCAAATACATGAAGTGCAGCTTCGATATTACCTTTCTGATACTCAAGTCTTCCTAACAAGGCTCTAGCTTCCTATGAGGAAAATGTCATTTAGCTTCATCTTAAATGAAGAGTCTTAAGTATCAATAAAATCAAATACTGGGATAAGGTCCTATTTTCTTACCCCAAAAAGAGCATTTACTATAGCCTAAGATGGAAGCATAAAAATCTCGGAAAAGGGATAAAAAGAAGAAGAAAAAATGATAGAAAAGCAGATAATTACATATACCAGAGAACTCGATTGTAGGATCAAAGTGCTTATGAGGGTGCAATTTTTTCATTAAATGCATGCAACCAATAAAAGGCAAAAGAAAATTTTCATCTAACCTCATAGTTTAAATAACCACTTTCACGAAGAGATGACTCTGCTTCTTCAATGTTTCTATTGTCCACCTTCGTTTCGATTTCACCAGGACGGGATGATTGGCCACTTGCTGAATAGTCCCTGGTTGCTAGTGACTCTGATGAGCAACTTATTTCATCTACTCTTAACTGTTCCCTTGAACACATGCACTTGATCATCTTTCTCAATCTCCACCTAATGCTAAACTTCCTCTTACTTATCAAACTTTTAGCTCTCATACTGGAACATCCAACTTGATACTCTCCTGAAACATCATCAACATGAAGCATAAAACATAAAAATAAGCACTTCAAGTTACCTCTTGAGATGCAATGCATCAGCTATACCCATGTACCTGGCATTCATATATAACATATGAAAACAACCTTAAGAAAACAAAACATGGCAAGTTCTAAGTCCTCCCTTATCAACTTTTTAACATTATTCAACATTTGCTTACTTTGAAGTTCATAACACAATTCTAAAATCATGATTTTTCAGAACTGAGAACCTCACACCTCATAGGACCAAATCAACCAACCCCAAAAAAGGATTTGGCCAAAATTCACCATTTGCATACCCAATTGCTGATCAACAACCAACAAGTTAAATTTTTTTTTTTTTTTAAATAAAAATCAGAAGCTTTCAAACTATACCCATGTATAATGAATGAACTGGGGACTGCTGTAAAAGGGAAAGGATGATTTGCTAACCTAGAATTGAATGTTAGGAAACCCCTTTATCAGTATCATAGACAGAAGAACAAATGATATCAGAACAACATAAAAGAGGTAAAAAAAAGAGGAAGAAAAAAGAAAGTAGCTTTTCAATAGCACAAAAGTTAATAGGCTGAGCCCACAAGACAAAAGAAAATGAGTGTGCAACTCCTATTAAATTCACCAATGAAGAAAGTTCCTCCCATGATTTTTTTTCTCTTAAGCTAGAATCCAAAGCTACATATGCTTTCTACAACCTTTTGTCTGTTTTGGTAATTTTGATGTATACATATGAGTTGACTGCTTGTTCAGTTCCTTCCTTGTTCAACCATTTGTAACTCCAACAGTTCCATGACAGTGCATTAAATTATGCATATCTAACTCTCCAAGTTTGAATCTTCTACCAAAAGGAAAAGCCATGACTTGTTCAGTACAATTTCTGCTTTTATTTATTAGTCTTTTGGCAAATAGCATCGTTGATGATGAGATAGATGACTCTACCACACTTCAAACTCCATTAGCTATTCTCTATTGGGCTTCGTTGAATTTCGCTCTCCCAGTGTGTCTACATGTTTGTGTGTGTAACTACAATTATACACAAAGGATTCTAAATCATGGTTTGGAATTAAAATAGTAATTCCAGAAAGATATTTTATTTTTTGGGAAAAAAATATTTAACGTTACATTAGACAATTTTTTATAATCTTGAAATAAGTTAAAATTACAAATAAATCATAATTTTCATCTTAAAATAACATCGTTTCGATAAACATTAAACAATGTTATTTAAAATAACTAGAAAAAATGAACCTTTATTTTTTTCTGACAATATAAAAATATTTATGTGTATATTAAAAGATTTTACAATTAAAAAATTTGCTAATAACTTAATGTAATGATTCATTTACACTCTTTTTTATACGCAGTATCCATACAATTTCTTATTTTGGGTTATACTTTCTTGTTCAATAATAATAAAGAATGACTTAAAATAAATAAATAAAATTTAATTCATTAACAGAATCAAGTAAATAATAAATGATCATTTTATTAAATATGCATAAAAATATTTTTTTTTTATGTGCATGTAATATCATTATCTTTTACCTCACTAACTAAAAATGAAAAGAGCACATTACAACAACAACGACAACAAAAAATGAAAAATGAAAAATGAAAAGAGCAAAGGAAAATGTATAAAAAATGTGTATATGAATTGTATCGATTGATCAACTAATTGGCAAGCCTTGGGTTGTCTGATTGTCTCTACAACGAGACTGAAGTGTAGATCTATAGATGTCTTGAAATTGACACACATGGGGTAATAGGCCATGGGGTCCCAAATTATTTATTGTCATTTCGAAAGAGATGCACTAGCTTCTCTCTTCTTCATTTTTATTTATAGAAAAATAAAATGAGCATATAAAGTCGTTATATGAATGACCCTATAAATCGTAAGATCAATAGTTGGCTGAACACCAATAATAAATGTCATCTTTTTGACGTTAAGAAAATGTACTCCTTTCCAAAAAACGCGTGTTCATAGTCAGGTAGGTGAGGTGATAGTATGTGTTCGATTTTATTTTAGTACTGTCTTTTGAAAAGAATTTAAATTCAAATTTTAAGATCCACTCTGAATTGGACTAATCACAAAATAATGAACAGATTGAAATATTAAAAATAAATAAAAAAATTAATTATGCCAAGTAGACAGAAATAAATCTTTTCGACACTCGTACCAATGCATGGCATCATTATTTATATTTCTCTCCGATGATCACATCTAAGACATCATTATATTTATATTTTTAATTTAAGTAAAATATGATAAATAAGTTTGAAAAACATTTAATTTTCCCCTTTTTATGGAAGTTTGTTCAAAAAAAAAGTACAAACTAAAATAATTTAGATTTAAAATCTAAAACAAATAAAAAATGACATGTGATATTAAATACTCCTAACAAAATAAAATTTAATTTAATATATAAGAGTTGTTAATTAGTATAACATCCTTGCTATTAAGGGTATTAACGAGCCGAGCCGAACTTTGGTCTTAAAAGATTAAACTTAGTATTTAAATGTGTTAGTCTGGCCTAGCATGTTACTTGTTATGAATATAATTATCGGCCTATGACCAGATTTATTTATAAAAAATAAAAGTTTGGTTTAGCCTGTTAAAAATAAATAAAACAACAAAAATTTATCCAAACAGAATATACGATCAACAATACTAATAATTTCACAAAGATTCATAAATTCAATATATATCCAAATAGCATAGTATAGAACAAAATCATTTTAAAAGTCAGTTTAACTAATAAAATGAGGTAAAATGGATTGAGAAGAGAGAGAAGGCTATTATGAGGGGTATAAAAAATATAAAATAAAAATAAAAGTTAATATACTTGGCTAGCCTGAGAGGCTCTAAGGTCGGACTTTTGAATTGGAGCCTGAAACATTTTTATTAAACAAGCTTTTATACAAGTCCAAGTCTGGTTCGTTTAACACCCTTACTTGCTATACAAGAAAAAAAAATTATTCTAATTATCGATAATATTGTGTAATAATAAGTACACCAAATTTAAAATTAAAATTTAAAAATACAACTAGTAGTTATAAATCAAAAAATACAATTAACTCACTATTATTTGAACAAATAGCATTTATTATCACTCACATGAAATTAAACTATTTAAAATTAAAAAATTTAGAATTTTAAAATATTAAAAATATATTTAACTAATCCACAATACATCTACATCCACATCCACATAATGGGCTCACAAGCTTTAGAAGATAAAAATCTAGGTCAATCCTTGTTCGAAATGCTAATAACATCTAAACTCTCACAATTCCAATAAACTCTATTTATAAATAAAGGATTAAATCATACATGTATACACTTCGAAACCTTAGTCTTCATTGCTACCATGTATACATACTATCACTACAAGAAAATAGTCAATTCGCGACTGTCGATTCACGATGGTTTGAGTTCAACCGCCTCTGTATTTAACTTTGTGGCTGTTAGTAAGGCGGTTCTTATAATTGTCGTAATATACAATAATTCAGCGTCGATTTAAAGTCATTTCACGACAGTTTGTCTTTTTTAAAATTTTTTTTAATCAAAACACAATTGACAGGCAAAAATTTTGATTTTAAATTCCCTCTATTTATTTTCATTTCCCTCTTTCCTAAAACTAAACCTTAAAAGTCGCGCCTCTCTTCCATCACCTCTCACACATATATGCTTTTCCCCTTCCTAAATCTAATGTCTCTCACTTATCTTTTTCTTTGAGTTGCCGCTTGTGGTGGCCACAATGGGAAAGGTCCCTTGACCATGGTGTTGTGTAACTTAAAAAAGTATTCCAGGCTACTATGTATCTTCGCATCTAGTGAAACTGAGGTCCATGAGATCGTTTAGTTGCAAGGTAGAAGGAATGAGACATCGCCGGCGACAAGTACGACAACGATTCTTGGCTTGGACAACGAAGCGGAGGTGTTGTGCACATTGAACAGAGGACATATGGTGATATTATTTATTTATCATTATTATTTTACAACCATTTATTATTTTAATAATTTACAACTATTGTATATTTTTCTTGAAGCCTGTGACTCTGTGAGAAAGATTTCATAACCGGGAAGAAGAATGCAAAGTTACAGGATACGAAAGGTATAAAATTGGGTTCAATAATATTATGTTCTTTATCTTGGGTACAAATTTCAATCAAAGACCCAATCTCTTCTCTTTTAAGAGCTACTGCATCGGTTTTGTACACTTGCATATCAAGTGTTTGAGGAAAGTTTCCAATTAAAATTTTATCTATATTATTTTTGGTAATGCAAATAACTTAGTTGTTGCACATGTTATTTTTGTGAAATGCTAATAAATTTTGTTATGTGCAATAGGTTTTGTAACATGTGTAATTCTAAAAAAGTTAAGTCTAATTGCTTATAACTGTGTGTAGTATTTTTTATATTTTATTTTTATTCTTTAAAAAAAAACAAATGTACTAGACACAAACATAAGAAATATTTTTTTGGTTTTACATTTATGTTTCATATCTTTAAATTTGAAACTTCCAAGTAACAATATTTTTTTTATATGACCGCAGGTTTGGAGCTTAAATGCCAAAAATAAGATCCTTCTCTGCTTTTTACAAAGCATAAAGTCGTGGACTACCATTTCCTTTAATTTAGTTTTTCACTTACTATTGATTCATATGTAATACTTTCGACTTGGATTTTGTAATATTTTAATATTTATATAATGAATAAATTAATTTTATAAAATATTTGATGTATACATCACATTAAAAACATTAATAAATAAAAGTAATAAATTTACATGAATAAATATAAATCTCAATAATACATTTATTAATATTAAAATTTAATTCTTGAACAAATACGAAATTGTACGTGAAATTTAAGAATAGAGGCTTTAAGATAAAAGAAATCAATTGAATAGTAAGGGGGCGGTTATTAATCACCGTGTCTTTGCCAAATGATAATTGTTTGTGAAGTTGAACCGCCTTTCAAACAGTCAGGAGAAACAGAGGCGGTCTTACCAGCGATTAGTTGAAATCGACGTAGAAATCCGCGCGACGCTTGTATCTGCGTCGGTTGGTAAACTGCCTCACACTTTATCTAGCAGCGGTTTTAACCGCCCCAAAATAAAAAATGAACAGCCGCAATATACTTATTTTCTTGTAGTGTATCCTATTGGTTTCTAGCATCTTTATTATGCATAATAATCTGCCACCATATATAGCTATCTCCTTTATAAAAAAGAGAGCGATTATCAAATCTCATATTAATCATTATTCTTTTGGATCCAACAATATTTAAAAGAAAAAAACTGTATATTTGAAGGGAATAATATATCACGTTTTATGCATATATTAGAAGGGATTAATGTCTCTCCTTTTACATGAGAAATCAAAATATTCTTATATACACATTCAGACGTAATTAAGTCTCATTGGAATTTTTTTAGAGAAACCTTATTTTTTTTTTCTCTCCTCGATTATTTTTTCGGTATGAAGTAATCCTTATCTCATATAAAATGAGAAAAATATTACCTATATTACAATTGAAAGACATTTCTATTAAGGTTTATTTGTTTATTTTTATGGCAAAGGGTGAAACTACCGTATCCATTTTTCAGATTTTTCATGATCTTCAAAAATATAATCTCACTCAGAATGATTTGAAATCTAATTACTAATATTAATTCTTGCTTTTCTGCATAAGATGCAAATCCTTAAAGTCATAACAAAATGTTGCACTATTTTTTCTCTCTTGAAAAATTAGGATTTCACAATATATATGTCAAATATTTAATATTGTTTCGAGAACAACTAGTCTTCTAAGAAACCAAATTAATAGTCTATCAGTTTTTTTTTTAATAAGAAGCCACTCTTATCATATTTATTTCTTATTAATTTATTTAAGTAAAAATAATTAATTATGCATAGATGTTAATTACTTGAGTCAAACTTATTACAGGTGCCTCCATCTATCATAATTGGGAATTGTTTTTATTATGTAACATAAGAAAAAAACTTTTATCTTACACTCACATATAAAGCGATGGAATCCATTTATATTTTTCTCTCTCTTATATTCTCTCTTCTCTCTATATGTATCTACAGGAGATAAATTTCATCCTATGTCACATAAGAAAATAATTTCCCATCATAATTATCCGCCTCAGTTAAGCAGAAGATGATATCGATTACGAAGCTATTTAAAAAAAAAGTTATATCGATTACGAATCTTGAAAGTGATTTTTCCTTGGTATGTTTTATACAAATAAGAAGGATACAAGTAAAATAACATAGCTTGAATTATGCGATAATTTTTATATTTTTAGTTATTTAATTTTTTTTATTTTTTTTTTGGAGTTACCCAACCCTAATTACCTCTTTGAGGCGAGTTGGCTCCCTCCGGTATCCCCACAAGCTTCGACTCTTTGAGTCGACTATGAGACTAATCCGGAGTGCAGGGGTCAGTGATGGCTAAAGGTTCAGCCCCCTCCCCAAGAATGCATTCAGCGGGAATCGAACACATGTCCAACTCCACTAACTGCGTGTTATTTAATTTGATATGTGCAAACATAACGGAATACCATAATATTTATTATACCTTTATGTTTAATATGTGCGCAATAAAACAAAAAAAAATAAAGAAAAGGGTTGTTGTGCTTTATATTTTTGTATTACAGATTACTACTTAATTTAATAAATAAAGAAATTTAAAATTTTTTGTAATATTTTTTAAATTATTTTTTTTCATACTTAAACTATTTTAAAAAATAAAATAAAATATATTTTTATATCGTAGTATATATCCTAATTTTTTTAAAAACCAAACAAACTCTTACTTCTGTTAACTATTTTGGTTACTTTCTTCTCATTTTTCTTCTCAAATAAGACAAAAAAGAGTAGAAACATCTCTCTGTTCTTTCATTCAACGTTAATTATAAGAACATACATTATTAAAGAGCAATTGTTTATTACTCGTACAAATTTTTCACAAAAACAAATTCACGGCCAATGCAAAGTAAATTAACATAGTATGAGAGATACTATAATCATATATATGTTTCATGCATGCAACGTCCGCGACACTCAGTGGTGTCCAATTCCACCTCCTCCTCCACCGCCCCCACCACCTCCAAATCCACCACCTGCTCCTCCACCAAACCCGCCTCCTGCTCCTCCACCAAATCCCCCACCTGCTCCTCCTCCAAAGCCACCACCTTTGCCAAAACCTCCACCAAAGCCACCACCAGAACCTCCTCCAACACCACCGCCAAAACCACCACCTTTGCCAAAACCACCACCAATGCCACCACCGGAACCTCCTCCAACACCACCACCAAAACCTCCACCCTTACCAATTCCACCTCCAATGCCTCCACCTTTGCCAAAGCCGCCGCCACCACCTAAACCTCCGCCTTTGCCAATACCACCACCAACACCTCCACCTTTGCCAAAGCCGCCGCCACCACCTAAACCTCCGCCTTTGCCAATACCACCACCAACACCTCCACCTTTACCAAAGCCGCCGCCGCCACCTAAACCTCCGCCTTTGCCAATACCACCACCTAAACCTCCACCTTTGCCAATACCACCACCAACACCTCCACCTTTTCCAAAGCCGCCGCCACCACCTAAACCTCCACTTTTGCCAATACCACCACCAACACCTCCACCTTTTCCAAAGCCGCCGCCACCACCTAAACCTCCACCCTTGCCAATACCACCACCAACACCTCCACCTTTACCAAAGCCTCCGCCACCACCAACACCACCACCTTTTCCAAAGCCGCCACCACCACCTAAACCTCCACCTTTGCCAATACCCCCACCGACACCGCCACCTTTTCCAAAGCCGCCACCACCACCTAGACCTCCACCTTTGCCAATACCGCCACCAACTCCGCCACCTTTTCCAAAGCCACCGCCGCCACCTTTTCCAAAGCCGCCACCGCCACCAAGACCTCCTCCTTTGCCAATACCACCACCAATGCCGCCACCTTTTCCGATGCCGCCACCAAAGCCTCCACCGCCGCCCTTACCTATACCACCACCATGTCCACCGCCTGCACCTCCTCCAAGGCCACCTCCTTTTCCAAAGCCTCCACCACCTCCTAGCCCTCCACCCTTTCCAAAGCCACCACCAGCACCGCCTCCAACTCCATGGCCCCCACCTGCTCCACCACCGAATCCTCCACCACCGCCAGCACCACCACCGAACCCTCCTCCACCTCCTCCACCACCTCCGAAGCCACCACCAGCTCCTCCTCCTCCGCCAGCACCCCCACCGAATCCACCACCAAAGCCACCACCCTTTCCAAACCCTAAGTTCTTTTCTTCATCATATTTTACACTTGCCACATTCCTTGCAACCACATCGGCCACAAAAACATGAGCACAGAGCAATAACAACAAAGCTAATACCCTTTTGTCCCCTCGTAACATTTTTTCTTTACTATTAATTAAGTACAAACTCGCTGAAACTCTCCAATCCTCGTTGGTGTAGTCTGCAAAGGCATGAAGAGGAGGTTTATATAACCACAGAATATCACAATTTGAGTGCTCTCTTCCTCTTTAAATGGTTTCAACCACTAACTGCTCGCCACATTTAATGCACACTGTTATCCACAATTATTCATCATGTGTTTGGTCTAACTGCTTTTCATACAAAAGAAGAAAAGTCTAACCTTCAAAGCTTTGTACTACTTAATTACTACTTGACCTGACACTAGCGCCACTTTGTACGTACCTCTCATGACCATGATTATTCTTTCTCCCCAATGCCCAAACTTGCATCACCTATATATCATATCATCAGTTATATATATATATATATAACTCTTGTTGTTGACTTGAGCGAGCACCTACAGTATTTCTATTTTCTACTACCCCTCTCTCTCTCTCTCTCTCTCTCTAGCTATGTCGGTACGTGTTAATTGTTTCCCATTGCAACATGCACGCGCGTGCCTTATAACTAACTATGTACAGGTGGACTTATTATGATATACATGACGGTGTCTAATAATCTGATCATTCATAAAATGTGTGCTATCAAATAGCTACTGAATATAAGTTTATATACTTAAGTATCATTACTGATTAGATTAGCTATATATTCAAGCTGGTTGGTTGGGTTTTACTTTTCTTGGAGGTGACATTTTTCCATTAACTGAATATCATACATCTATGTCAGTGAATTCTCGTAATGACAATTGAGAAGTATATATTACACAAGAATTTATGGGTACTGAATGTTATGTTGCATTATAAAACCAATTTAATCTAAATCTGGGTTAACAGTTATAGTAAACATCATGCGGGCCCAACCTCAGTCGGACATAAATATTAAGTGCTATAGAAGGATTCGTGAAAGTTTTGAAAGAAAAGCTGGCATGGTGCTCTGGTGAACCGTTGCATGTGCTTGGTAGATGAAGAATTTATTGCTGATGAGGTGTTGTTCTCTGTTCTCCAAATCTGTGGATGCCATCCATTATATTTCAAAGCAAATTAACTGATCTGATAATAGAAAGAAAGACGATCCGCTGAATCAGCATCGCATTCAATTTGCGTTACTTCTTGTTATTTGGTTTGAATTTTGTTTTACTTCTTCTTTTTGAAGTCCTTCAATTGCATCCACACTACTAGAAAAGTCTTTATTTTCGACAGAATTTTTCGACAGAAAAAAATTCCGTTGAAATTATTGACAGAATTTTCCACGGAATCTATTTTCCGTCTAAAATTTCGACGGAATTTCTTTTCCGTCAAAACTTTTCGACGGAAAAAGAAATTCCGTCGAAATTTTTTGAAAAAATAAAATAAAAAGAAATTATATTTTGTGGACTTTTCGACAGAATTTCGATTCCGTCGAAATTTTTTGAAAAAAATAAAAGAAAAAGAAATTATATTTTGTGGACTTTTCGACGGAATTTCGATTCCGTCGAAGATTTACGACGGAAAAGGAATTCCGTCGAAAACTTTTGAAAAAAATAAAAGAAAAAGAAATTATATTTTGTGAACTTTTCGACGGAATTTTGATTCCGTCGAAGATTTACGACGGAAAATGAATTCCGTCGAAAACTTTTGAAAAAAATAAAAGAAAAAGAAATTATAAATTGTGGACTTTCTACGAAAAAAGGAATTCCGTCGAAATTTTTTGAAAAAAATAAAAAGAAAAAAAATTAAATATTGTGGACTTTTCGACGGAATTTAGATTCTGTCAAAGATTTTCGACGGAAAAGTAATTCTGTCGAAAACTTTTCAAAAAAATAAAAGGAAACGAAATTAAATATTGTGGACTTTTCGACGGAATTTCGATTCCGTCGAAAATCTTTAAACAAATAAATGAAAAAGAAAATATATTTGTGTCTTTTCGACGGTTAGCAAAATCAAATCTATCGAACTAATGACCTGTATTAATGGTTTTCAAATTCAATTTCGTATGTTTGTGTTATTTTTTTAGAAAGTGAAAAATTCAAAAATTCAAATTGTTAGTACGTAGGTGTCTTTGAGACAATCTGAGAGTCAAATAGACCTATGTAGGTATAACAAGTTGATCATTCGATGAACTCAGCTAGCTTTGGAACAACATAACATTGCTAGTGCTCTATGTTGTCATTAGATGAATTGGGTCTAGTGGGCCCAAGCCCATTTATTTCAGTGGCTATGTTGGGCCTGATAGATCGCAAAGAAACACCTTAAGTTGTCTTGTATTCTAGCATATATGGTTTGGGCCCAATAAGGCATAATGGGCCTAAGTTGAAAAAGTCCACATATTGAGCCAAGAGATAGTCGGTGGCATCATTGGTCAAGTTGGACTTGATCCATAATGTAACCTATTTGTGATTAATTTGTAAAATTAACAAAATTAATTTGAATTCTAATTTTGAATTTGTAATTTGAAATTTGAATTTAGGGAATTTGAATTTAATAAAATTAATTTAAATTCTAATTTTGAATTAGAAAATTCGACTGAAAAGCAATTCCATTGATAATTGAGACAAAAGTTTTCGACGGAATTTCATTCATTTTTCGTCGAGTATTTTTGACAGAATTTATATTCCGTCGAAAAATATTTCATTAATTTTTGACGGAATTTATTTTCTGACGGAAATTATTACCAGAAAATTTTGACGGAATCAGTTTTCCGTCGAAAACCATTACAATAATTTTCGACGGAATTTCATTCATTTTTCGTCGAAATTTTTTGACGGAATCAGTTTTCCGTCAAAAACCATTACAACAATTTTTGACGGAATTTCATTCATTTTCCATCGAAATTTTTTGACGGAATCAGTTTTCCGTCGAAACCATTACAACAATTTTCGACGGAATTTCATTCATTTTCCGTCGAAAATTTTTGACGGAATTTATTTTCCGTCACAATTTGAGACAAGAATTTTCGACGGAATTTCATTTATTTTCCGTCGAAAATTTTCGACGGAATTATTTTTTCGTTGAAACTTCCCGCAGAAATTATTCCGTCAAAATTTTCGTCGAAATTTTTCGATGTAATCTGTAATTCCGTCGAAAAAATCGTTACCCACGAAGATATATTCGATGGCTTCATTTTCGTTGAAAATTCCGTCGAAAACATCATTTTCGACGGAATTTTAACCATTTTCGACGAAATTTTTCCGTCGAAAAAAAAATCATTTTCTAGTAGTGCCATCTACTAATACTCAGAGAAAATTCCGAAAATTATACGTTTCTGCGCCATATGTATGGTGATAAATGATACCTCATCATACATTACATTATCCCCGCAACTTTTATTATTATTATTATTATTATTATTATTATTATTATTATATTTAATGCGGCATATCAATTTTTAGGAACCAAACATATTATTGAATTCATTGCATCACGTTAAATGCTCATTTTAATCACTATTAGTGGTTTTAAGGGGTTAGTCATGTTAATATATATGGAGCACGATTAACTTACTCTGGTATAAGTTATCCTTTTTTTTTTTTTGGTAAACAAAGTTATCCTCTTTATTTTGATCTTTAATCTCACTGCTTATAGCTAATCATCCTAATTTATTAATTATACGAGTCATGCATGGATGATGGATAGAATCATGAAACACAATCAAATTAAAAAGTTTTACACCCTATTTAAATATTTGATTTTCGTCAATCTAATAACTATAATTTATTGGATTATCCATTAATTATTAATTCATAATAAATTATCATTGTATTTTTATAGTATTTTATTTGTAATTAGATCCTACATCATTTAATTCCTGCACTTCGATTAATCTAATTCTCGCTGGAGACCAGGTGTGTGGCAGTGTGGATCCTATAAAAGAAAAAATCACCTATGCTGAAAAAGTGAAGTTAAAAACCTACACAAAAAAAAAAGTGAAGTTAAGAGTGATGCAAAAGGGAAAAAAAGTGTAAGAGTAATTATATGCGGTGCAACTAATTTTTTTCTTAATTAATCTGCTAATTAATTTTATAAGCAGGAATTTATCTCTAATAGCATGTTTTCTCTTCTCTAATCAATTGGCTATTCTCAGCGGTACCGAGATGTGTTTCTCTTCCCTATAGGCATAAATATAAAAAGCAAAAGTTAAATGCGGAACTTACAACATTTAATGCAGTGTTTAAAAACTCGGCCCGGTCATCGACTCGGCCGAGGTCAGGGGTCATGGAGTCACGGGTTCAACCGTGGGGTCACGGAGTCACTATGCTGATCCGATTTTATATATTATATATATATATATATATATATATATATATATATATATATATATTAAAAAACAAACCACTAATTATCAAAGATTCAAAATATACTTAACATAATTCTCTAATTACAACCACAAGTCAATATTACACAACCTAATTAAAGTATCAAGATACCAAAGTACAAAACTCATATTCTAATGGGATCAATACGCTGACCCGGTTCTGTCTCTTTGGAGAAGGTCTCTAACAAAGGAAAATTTAAAGGAAGTAAGAATGAGTTTTTGTTTTCCATCGACGACCGTAAGGATTTCATTTGAATAGATAAAATTCTTACCTTTTCTAGAAGATTCACGTCTACGAGGTAAAGATTGAAGACATATAGGTCACTAGGAGAGAAGAGAACGATTAGATTTAGGTTTGTAAGCATTTTTAATTTTAATTTTTTAATAAAACGAAGTTGTTTCATGGAAAAAAAATTTAAAAAAAATAAACATGCAGTGACCCCCTTTGACCCCTCTGGCCCGGGAGTCACTGAAATCCGGCCGGGTTTTGGGGGTCGGAGGGGTCGATGTGCATATAGGGTCCAACTTGTGTCCCCAACCCTTAGAGGGTAGGAATCAGGATTGACTCGGGTCAACCCGAGAAGTGAAGTGAAGTTTTAAAACACTGATCTAATGGGCAAAAACCCCATGATTTGTGCAGTTTAGAATTCCTTTTCAAGTTTATCTAAAAAAAAATAAAAAATATCGTTTTCAAGCCC